TATATATATATATTTATTTATATAAAATGTGTGTGTGTGTGTGCCTGGTGCCCACTCCATCCGCTCGGGCAGTGCCCTTGCGTGAGTAGGCTGGGGCTCTGTATTAGTCTAGGCACGGCGGCAAAAGAGGTCGACGTGACCGGAAGTCTCCTACACTTTGGAAGAAGAAAGCCCAGCTCAGAGAGGCATTGGCATAGTCCTATACTGTGAAGCGCTCCCAGCCGCCCGCCTTGTAGGCCACCAGCACGATGCGATCAAAAATTCGCCATGGCTGTGTGGCATGCCATCGGGTCTTATAGTCGGGAGGAGCAGGGCTCGTCCAAGGGCAGTCCAGGGACTTCTTGATACGCGTCGCCATGTGGATGTTGCAGCCAAGTCTGTCCTCCCACTCCGTAGGAGAGTTGGATCACCAAGCTGTGTCCTTATGTGGATGGGAGCCCAGGTTGCACTGTACGCTGAGAGAAGTCCATCTATGACCCGGACAGCATCGCGCTATGAAGAAGTTCAGCAGCGTGGCATTCATAAGTCTGGGAGTGGGGTGTGCTCTTCCAAGTGCGATGTGAAAGACGCCCTGCTTGGGGGAGAAAAGTCTGCATCTCCGGACGTGCCGCATCTAGCTGCGTGGTGAACAAATAGAAGTTGGATTTACTGGGTTCCGGCAGCACGTCCAGAGCCCAACCAATAATGTCATTGCGAGGGTACATGCCCAAAGCCGGGGGCCTTCTCAGGGAATTCAACGCGCGTGCCTGTGACAGAGAGCCTACGAGCAGGCTGCCTTCGTGAAATCCAGAAATAAGTCAGCAAGCAGCTCGAGTGGCTGCACTGACATGGTCCATCCGCCCCTGCTGGTAAACCCAAACTATGAAGCAAGAAACCAGAAAATCAGGCAAGGGAAACTGTTCCGGCTTAGTGCCCTGTCAAGAACAAGAGGGGCATTTGCTGGCACTGAGCTGCAGATCTTTCGGTGTTGATAAAAATCGTGACTGCGCGCCGGGTGAGCAGTGATGATGCAGGCTGGGTCATGTCCTAGTGTTGGCTGTGCTACCGTCCGCTGCAGGAGGACCAGGCAGCGTCCTCCATCTCCACGTCTTCCTCAGATTCCACCCACATGCCCTGAAGTTTCTGTTGGGCCTGGCGATCTTCGATGGCCAGCGCAGGCGTTGAACTTGATAGGGCAGCGTTTGGAGCCGGCGGAGTCGAGGAGCTCGAAGCGGCCAGTGGGGGAGGCGGAGGCGGATCAGCTCCAGCTCAAGATAGCCATCCTGGTTGCCATACGTCATGAACGGCTGGATCTGCGAAGATACGCCGAAAATGTGAGATCCCTCGTGCGGAGACCACAGCTGAGGTAGAACTTGGCGTGGCGGCCAAACGCTCCCAGCTTCCCGAGCTCGTCTGTGGACCCTTGAAAGTTCTAAACCAAACTTTGAGGTTCCCTTGAAACGCCGGATCGGACTTCACTTTCTTTTCCACTTCACGAGGCTGCTATCTGCCATACGAATAGTACATTTGCTGGCTGATGCCTTAGTACGAGCTGTGTCCCAAAGTGCTTCGGGTTGAGGTTTCTGGCTTGGCCCTCGCCATATACAATCGAAATGGGCCCCTCGCCATGTCCAGGTTAAGCAATACGCAGCAAGGATGAATAGACTATGTCACACGCAATTTGCAGGTACACCGGGCTGATCAGGCCTGGTTTCCCTCTCTGATGCATAGCGTCGTTGGGGACGGTAGCATCAGAGAGCCGTACCCTCCAGCTGAAATAGCATTGCTGACGACCACAATTCTGGCACTGGGTGAAGACAAGCCCTCGGGCAACCCTTAGTTTAGCTGTGAGGGTGCAACAACAACAACAGCAGCAGCAGCAGCGGCAGCAGCAGCGGCAGCAACAGCAACAGCAACAGCAACAGCAACAGCAACAGCGACAGCGACAAGCAACAGCAACAGCAACAGCAACAGCAACAGCAACAGCAACACCAACACCAACAACAACAACAACAACAACAACAACAACAACAACAACAACTACTACTACAACTTGCAAACACAGCAACAGCACCAGCAGTAGCAGCGGCGGCGACAGCGACAGCGACAAGCACAGGCGACAAACGACAACCCACCACCCATAGACAACCAACAACCAACCAACAACCAACATCCAATCCACCGCCAGCAATCAACAACCACAACAACAGCATCAACAACAGCAGTAGCAGCAGCCGCGGCGACAGCGACAACGACCACAGCATCAAGGACTCACTCATCACGACAAGAAATGCTACCATCACAATTAGCATTGCCATCGTCGACACATTCTTTCCTAATCATTACCATGCTCATCGTGCATAGTGACCGACGACACCACCTTTGCCATCGCCTCACGACCGACTGGTGGCCGCAAACATGTCGACCCCCCGGCGCCATCATCATATAACATGTTGACCATCATGTTAAGCATCATCCTGACAAAGGGCATTTTGCACAGTCTGCTTCAGCCATGTCCAACCTGCGTCAGGCCTGGTAATCTCAATCATGAATGCTATGCTCCGAGCCCGGAAGCTGCTAGCGGCTGCTAGCCCTGATACCAGTGCACTGCGGGTACCACTCAGGCTGCTGCATGCTTCGGCTAACGCCACTGACCCCAACGCACGGCCAAATCCCGCAGAGGCAAGGGATTCGTTCAAATGACGAGCACGACAGACCGTAGACAGATATGAAGCCTTGGTTTAAGACGGGGTCGAGCCCACATAAGGCCTGATGTGTCGCAGCTCCAAAGGCGCTCTGCCGATTCCCACGCGAGGTGTCCTTGTTTTAGCAAGGAAAAAGAGATAGACTCTCAGGCAACCCGAAAGGAATCTGAGCGACAATCGTCACTGAATCGTCACTTCTTGTATTTTAACTTTGGGACTGGGCGTCGAAGCTTGCCATCACCATGCGGCCGCACGGCGTTCCAGGCCGGTTCGGGCTTCGGGCAACCGTCGCCCTGCGAGAGACTGGGACTCGCTCGGGTTCGTGACTTCAAAGCCGGCTTCAACATCAGATCCTCCACGGCTGCCACCGCCAAGCGGTCCGCCGACGCCGATGCAACCAGCTCCGGTGCTGCGGCCGGCCAGGCCTTGCATGCAAGGAATCTGTGGCTCTGTACGGAAGTGTTGTCGCCTACAAGAAGCCAACTCCTTTGCGTACTGGAGAAGCTCTGATTTAGCATTTGGCGATGGGCCTTGCTGAAACAACAAGATTTCATCGAGTGTGCTCACTTATGTGTGTGAAGTGATCAGAAGGCAACACCGCCCAACCGCATTGGCCACCGAACGCAAGGGCCTGGGAATCACTAGTAACTTTCCCCACGCGGCCTGCAGCCGATGACATCCACGCTGGTGAAACGCCAGCCTCGAATCTCAGTGTGTCAGAGCTTTCACCATAGTAGCCAAAGCACGGATCCAGGCAAAAAGCGGCTCATGGTCGTCAGCCAATCTAGCTCCACCATGAGTACGCGCCCGAGTCATCTTACCGCGATGATGTAAACCATGCTAGTAGCATAGTTAGTTTGCAGCAGGTACAAGACACCTTCGCAACGGCGCTGGCTGGCTGGTAGACCAACAAACCAGCTGATCACCGTCGCCGAGCTGGTCATCCTGCTCGGCCATGCCTGTATGCTTGAAAGGCTTTCGCAATCTGCGATTTTTGGATGGTGTTGAACGTGTATGGGTGGGTGGGTGTGGGTGGGTGTGGGTGGGCGTGGGTGGGGTGGGTGGGGGATGTGTGGGGTGGGGTGGGGTTGGTGGGGTGGGGTGGGTGTCTGACTACATGTTGGTCTCTGTCTGTATGTGCTTGTCTGCGTCGTCTCTGTCTGTCTGGTATCTGGTTCTATCTGTCTGCCTGTCTGTGTCTTTGGTCTCTGAATGTCTGTCTGTCCGTCCGTCCGTCTGGGTCTGTCTCGAATCCTGACGGTGGCACAGCCCGACAGCACAGGAGCGCAGCATTTAGGTGCAAAATGGCGCAGCTCCTCGATCTATTATTAGCTCTGTCGCTCTCGCACTCAGGTCTCCCCCTCTCCAGACTCCCTCCAGACAGCCGCTATTGACCAAGCTGCGTTGCTTGAAGTCGGCTTGGTGACAAACGCTGCCGGATGGCATCGGATTTGCAGAGACAGCTGTCAACAAACCTTGGGCGCAGAAACTTCAAGCCCCGGGATAGTATCACAAGGGAGGCATCCTCATAACGGCAGGACAAAAACTCGATCTATCACATCATCCCGAAGAAATACCAGCAGGGACTCACTCGTTGCCCTCACCTGCGCAAAGAGACCGCACTGGGCGAATCCAAAAGCAAGGATGGAACGAGTTGTGGAGAGCTCTACACTGCACCTTAGGGTAGTAACGGCTCGTAACCAGCACTTGTGATATGATTTTATTAAATTATTGAACACATGAAAACGAAACGGGAGACCGTAATAGCTAGGTTCAGAGGGTGTCTCAGAACAAACCAAACACAAGGAGTGGAGCCTTCCACATCTCGTTGAAAATCGGATCCAAGTATAAGGTGCGGAGGGGGCTTCAATAGAGCATCGGTTGAGTAGGTGATTGTGGTCGGATGTGGGAGTGAATTCCTTCAGGCTTGAGCTGTGATCGCAGTCCAGGCACAATGCGCCGAAGTGAACAGAACGTCGCTCACGAGCCCTGACGTCGTCATATCCTAGGTGACGACGCAGTTAGTGGGTGTGCAGATAAATCCGAGGAAAAGGATTCCCAGTATGACTCTTAGAGGGAGAGTGACACAAAGGCTTGCTTGCCCGTGCCTTTGTTTTGCGGAGAAGTTTCGCAAGTCAGTCAGGATTTGTTGCTGTCTGGGCAGCATTTTCAAGCGTGCTTCGGCAAGATCCGATCTGCAGAAAGCGCGCTGAACCGGTATCAAGAGACGGCTTCGTTATGTTGCTCGCCTTGTACGCTCTAGCAGCAGAGCGTAGGAAACAAGAGCCCAAAAGCGTCCAACAACACACAACCTGCGATTTGATGACATTCAAAACAAGTAGCGGGCCAGAGATGTTTTCCACTTCGCGAGCGCCCATCGAGAAGTGCTATGCTCTTACATGAAGTTGTTGTGAACTGCTGTTCATCGAAGCTGGCCGTGAACGTGGCAGCATCACACACGTTGCAATCATCGCAGCCTATGCTGATTGTGTGGCCACTCAAATCCAAGGCAAACAAGCACAGCACAACTTGGCGGTGTCTTGGGCGCTGACCCCTTCACAGCTAAGGGCAAGTCTCAGAAACGTCTGGAGCACCAAATCACATGATTTCAGCTTGAAGCCAAGCAGCCCACAGCTGCCGCGGGCGTGCAGACAGCTCCCATGCTCGGACCTTCTTGAGATTTCAGGCAGTAAACAGCAGTATTTCTCGCTGAGTTGCAGTGCTCGTTCTTGCGCAAACAAACTTAATGAAGCCCTAAGCCCACTGCTAGCTGCCGTCCATTTGCAGTGCTGTTCAAACACAGCGGTAAACCCTCAGAAAGCACCTCTGATGAGCATTGCTACGCTGCTACACGCCGTGGCTGTCACGCAACGGCTGTGTATCGGGATAAGCAGGTTCGTCCTATGCTTGTTTAGCGCGTGGTCGAGTTCGGAAAAGATGCCAATGGCCACCGGTCAACCTTGCATCTTTGTACGGAAATCACGCATCACCTGCATGTCCATATCGTGCTCGGGTTCGCTTTCGCAGTTCAGATTGCGGCTTCAAGAGCGTCATCTTCGCCAGCTTGCCATCACCATGCTACCACCACCGCCGCCACCACCCTTACCATCATCACCATCATCATCATTGATTGACTCGTGGATCACCATCGCTCAAAATGGCATCGTCATTCGACGGTGATATGTAAGGTGGTCATTCAAAGCGAGCACCTCTCATCGCCAGCATCACCGTTTTCATCCACATTCGTCATTCGTCTTTCACCAAATCAACATCGACATCATCAGCAGCAACTGCTACATCAGCATCTTTGTGACCTGGTTTCATCGACCAAAGATTCTCAGCCTCGCCCGCGTTATCATCGATGTCCTGAACACCATCCAAATCACCGACTCAAAGTGCGCCGCCACCATGTTCCTCGTCTCCATCACTGCGGGAGAACACCCTCTAAATCCAACCCAACCATCATCATCAGTCCCATATCACACTGTCCATGACCATCAATATCAACATCATCCAACATCACTAGCAAAGCCTTGCGACATCCTACCTCACCATGGCCACGACCAAGGCAATCATCACAAGAGCCTAGGCGTTTTAAGTCTCTGGTATGTCGAGGCTGCCACCGAGGCTGCGGACCAGCAAGCACTGACGAGGTGAGGACACGATCCAACCTGGTCCATCTTTGGGGTAAAGTATTCGGCTGAAAAGCAACCCTTGACAACTACAGGAAGCTTGAGAACAGAGCAGCAAGGACCAACACCAGCAAGGGTCAGTGTGGCACACACGGCATCATGGCATGGATCTGATGTTAAGGACATGCATAACAGCACTAATCATATTCATGCCAGCAGGGAACTCAAGGTCGTGACACTGCTGGACAAAGCCGGAAGAATGGCGATGCTTAGTGCTGGAACGGCAGGAATGAAACAACAACCAGCAAAAGACTTGAGACAACGGCGCGATAACAACATCAAGGCAGAGCCAGAGCTGTGCTTGCAAACGTCCACCCATCGCAACTCACTCACAGCAGTTCCGCAACAGCCAATACGACTATCGGTAGCAGCAGCAGCAGCAGCAGCAGCAGCAGGAATCGGCGTCGTTGTCGTCGGACACCGGCACCGGCAGCACCACCACCAGGAGGACGACTACAACTCCTACCACACCAATACAACCTATTACCAGCACGTCTTCGCCGACAACGATTGCGACTGCGACTGCGACGAGGACGAGGACGACGAGGACGACGAGGACGACGACGACGACGACGACTACTACTACTACTACTATGCTCATGCTTCTATGCCAAAACGCTGCTGCTACTGCTCCTGCTCCTGCTACTGCTACTGCCACTGCCACTACTACTCTACTACTACTACTACTACTACTACTACTCCTACTCCTACTCCTACTCCTACTCCTACTCCTACTCCTACTCCTACTACTACGACTACAACTACCACTGGTACAGTGCTACTAGTACTAGGAGGACGACGACGACGACGACGGCTTCGACGACTACAACTACAAGCACAACTGCAACAACAGCAAATGCTAATACTACTACCACCACCACTGCTAGCACAACTAAAACTATCAAGGCTACTACGACGACCACGGTAGTCGTTCTACTACTGCTCCTCCTCCTCCTCCTCCTCCTCCTCCTCCTACTACTACTACTACTACTACCACCACTGCTACTACTATCGGAGGGCACCTTTTGTTCTGTCATGTTCTTGCTTGGACTTTATTTTTCTGGCACGGCGGGCCTGGGCAGAAAGAAAGAAAGACAGAAAGCCACAGACACAGGGAGACAGAAAGAAAGAAGGAATGGATTACACAGAGACAGAACCAAGCAACAGACAAAGGGAGAGAGGAAGATACAGAAGGACCACAAGACAGAAACAAAACAAAATAATAAGGATAGATAAACAAAGAAAGAGAGAGCAAAATGTACAGAACCAGAGACAGAAAGACAGAAAGAACGAAATAAAGAAAGAAAGATCGAAAGAAAGAACGAAATGCAGACTACGCAAAAGAACAAGACAAAGAGACAGCAAGAAAGAACCAAGACACAAGAAAGAAACAAATATAGAACGAAATCAAAAGACAATACAGAAAGAAACACGATAAATAAAGAAGGCAATACGGAGAGAAAGCAGAAAAGAGCTAAATAAAATAACTAAAGAACAAGAAACACCAAGAAATAAAGAGAGCAATAAAGAAATAATAACACAGATAAGCAAAGAAAGAGAGACAGAAAGAACCAACGAAAGAACACGACACAGACAAAGCCAGAATGAAAGACATACAGAACAACCCAACCAGAAAGACATAACGAACGAACTGAGAAAAAATAACGAAATAATGAACGACCCAAAACAAGAAATAAATTATAAATAACGAACAAACCAGGACCTAAAGAAGGAACGACAGAGATAACAAACCAGAAAGAAATAAAGAAATAACGACACACATAAAGACTGAAAGAAAAAAGTAACACAAAGACAAAGAGAAAAGACACATAACAAAATACCGTCACACAAGGAATGGTAGGAGGGGAATAAGCAAGAATTAGAGGAACTATATAAGGGCAAAAAGAAACAAACGAAAGAACAACTCAAGAAGGACACCTCCGTAGACAGACGGAAAGAACGAACATCCCATTCTTTATGCACAAGAATCAGTACAGCAAAGAATATTTGCATAATTACAATATACATACATTGTTCTAGGACTTGCACTCGACCAGGTCAGGCGAGGTGTACATACATATGTATATATATATATATATATCTGCACTCACGCACATATTTGTACATACACATCTACTATGAACAAGAAAGAAAGCTCCAGAAATATAGATAAAGAAAACCACGAACAAAGACCTAGAGACAGGGACACATAAAGAACTAAATATGAAACACAGAAAGAAATAAATAAACAAGAAAAGAACAATACATAGATTATCAACGACACAAAGAAATGACGAATGAAAGAAAAACATAAATAATTAACCAAGTAACAAGACATAAGGAAAGCAACAAATACAGAAACAACCAGAACCCTCTGTAAATGACTGAAAGTATGCAACGCAGCACGACATGCGCAGCGAGCATCCTGTGTAAATACTAGGACGTGCACAAACGCAAGAACAACTCAAGAAGGAAACCTCCGCAAACAGACGGAAAGAACGAACATCCCAGTATTTATGCAAAAATTGCTTCAAGATATACAATATACATACATACATATATACATACCTATGCACTCGCGCACAGATGTGTACATACACATCTACTATAAGCAAGAAAGAAAGCTCAAGAAATGAAGACAGCAATTAAAAATACCACAAGCAAAGAACTAGAGTCAGGAACACATAAAGAACTAAATATGAAAAGAAGACCGAAACAAACAAGAAAATAACAATACATAAGTAATCAACGACACAAGGAAATGACGAATTAAAGACAAACAGAAATAATTAACCAAGTAACAAGATGTAAACGACTGGGGAGACATGCGCAGCGAGCATCCTGTGTAAATACGAGGATGCGGGAAGCAGGTTTTCACTATGTGATGTAAATTAATGGGACGCGGGGAGGGAAAAGACAAAACCAGCAAGAAGCCACTACTTCTCCTGCTACGACTGCCACTACTACTCCTACTACTACTACTACTACTACTACTACTACCACTACCACTACTACGCTACTACGCTACTACGCTACTACGCTACTACGGCTATTGCTACTGCTACTACTACTACTACTACTACTACTA